TATATATATATATATATATATATATATATATATATATATATAGCGAAGGACCCAAAATTTCAACCAGACACAGAGCATGTTCAATAAGCTTTATTTTGAAAAGACTGGTGGGAGTCAGCACGTCTGTGGAAACGCGCTGCAAAGGTTCACAAGGCGAAACAGGAAAATCGCAGAAACTTGGTCAGGATGAGCAGATCAGTCAGGAGCATGAGGTAATCGCTGGACATTTATCTGCTTTCAATAATTTGGCACCGGATAGAGAACAGGGGGAGCGCTTAAATGCTACGGCCACCAGGTGACAAGAATGATGCTGATCACAGCGGAGCAGGTGGGCGAGGTGAACAGACAGGCAAGAATCATGACATTCACACTCATGAATACTTCATATGCTCTTAAACACTTTGGCGATAGCGAGGACGATGACGATGAATGTGCAGTACTGGGACAGCATGTACAGTACACACAATATAAAAAAAATCATGTTTAAAAAACCCGTGATACAGTAAATCCACAAGAAGTGAACCGTAATATAGCGATGGACGACTGTAATTTGCTTCATTCAACACTGCCAGTTTGATTTAAAAACTTCAGATTTAAATTTATTCCCAGAGGTTGTAAATTTCAAAATAAAAGCATATTGAAATGTAAGCGGGGTAAATCTCTTGTATTTCACTGTGCAGGAAGCCACTGCATGCAGCTGCTTATTCAGGGAGTGTTGCTGGGCTCCAGCTGGTTCTGACCCGGGGAGCAGAGCTCAATGCCGTGGATCATTTTGGTCGTTCTGCTCTCATGGTTGCTGCAGACTGTGGACAGAACACAGCGATTGGTACGTGACCAAATTGTTCTTATGCCAGTCTGTTGTATTTCCTCTCTGTTCACCACACCTTAAAACACATCAGAAAACTTTTACTCATTTTCTCTTCCTTTTTCAACTTGTATGACACATCACTGTGTTGTGCTGCACTGATAGAACGTCACCCAACACAAGAAGCACCTGATAAATGTTTGAAATGTAACCTGGTTGCCGTTGCTTATTTTCTTTATTTCAGAGTTCTTGCTGCACAAGACGAAGCCAGACCTGACCCTGGTGGATATTAACAATAACACAGCACTTCACTTAGCCTGCAGCAAGGTCTCTCTCACACACACATGCACAGACATTATTGCACTGCATGTTTGGAGTGGCACATACATTTTTGCACAAGTGTAGCCAGGAGAGAGTTTTAACATCTTTTAAATAAATCTAAAATCTTCATGTGGATTTTTCTGTGTAAAATGCACAAATTTAGAGGTTTGACTGTTTTACAAGCAGAAAGATTTTGTTTTGTGCTTCGTAGATTAAGTTTGATTTGTTTGAGAATTGTGTGAACAACCTTGTTCGGGCTCATAAACAACACGCTTTACTCTGCAGGGTCATGAGATGTGTGCTCTGTTGATCCTAACAGAGATCACGGATTCCTCCCTCATCAATGCAAGAAATAATTCTCTTCAGATGTGAGTTGCCTTTAACTGTCTCACACTTCTTTTTTTATCTTCGCTTCAAGAAGCAAGACTTTTTAGTAATCTTATAGTTTGGGTCTTTAGGCACTTTTTAGCAGCAGCCTATTACTAAGATACAGTTGCCATTTTTTCTACTGTACAGTAGTCCCTCGTTTTTGGTAGGGGATCTGATAAGTGAAAAACCGCGAAGTAGGTGGGCCATATCATTTCGGTCATGATAATACCGGTAAAAAAAGCTTGTCCGGGCAAAAAAATGATATGCTCCTTTCATGACGTAATACGTCAGGTGCCCCGCCCCGTTAACAGAACCGAGCGCGCCGAATGACCAAATTGAACTGCGCCCCCCATGAAAAGCAACATGTTAAGTTAATTTTGTCAAATTAACAAGTTATTTCTGGGTTTTTTGTTATATCATGAAATTTATTGTTATCGTTAGAATGCTCTGAAATATCACAATATTTGAGCCATATCGCCCACCCCTAATAAATAAATATATATATATATATATATATATATATATATATTATATATATATATTATATACACACACAAAGGCATTTTAAACCCTTCCCACACTCTTGCAATATTCTAAACAATGTTTCTAAACTGTAATTGTTCTAAAAGAGCACAGAATGTCATGATTTCAGCTCCCTACCTCTGCTGCTCTTGGCCACGCCCACTTCTCAGCTCTGCGTGGAGAACAGCTGATCAGCTGCAGCAGGAAGCTTATCCTGCGGTATGGGCTGCACAAATGTGCAGCAGGTGCTAAATAATTTCAAATAATTTATTTTGAATAAAAATCCCATGCTAATCATGCGGCTCATCCATCAATCAGCCAATTGTGTGTCATGTCCAATCTTATTTTGAAAAACCGGGATAGAGCGAGTCCGCGATAAATGAACCGTGAAGTAGTGAAAGACTACTGTACTGTATGAAAATAGGAATAGATTTATTTTTAATTAAGCTCCGACATGATATGAACATTTCTTGTGAAACTGTAAAACTGTGTTAGTGTAAATTTTGAGTCTTTGGAGTCCTTCAATCAGACTTCTTTTTGTCGTCCAGGCCCCTTCACATTGCAGCCAGAAAGGGTTTGGCCACAGTAGTGCAGGTCCTACTGAGCAGAGGAGCAGCAGTCATGGCTGTAGATGAGGAAGGTAAGTACAAACGTTTGTATGTCTGTGGGAGAACACGAGAGAAGTTTCCTGACCTCAAACTAGAGGGAATCATTTTCAATCCTCCGCAGGTCACACACCAGCTCTGGCCTGCGCCCCAAACAAAAACGTAGCGGACTGTCTGGCCCTGATCCTCTCCACCATGAGGCCTTTCCCTCCCAGAGAGTCTGAAACCACCGCAGCTTCTCATTTCAGCCCCGTCCTGAAGAACTGTGGCGTCGCTGCTGCCTGCAAGTCCAATGGAAACTTGTGCCACGCCTGAGTCAAAGCCCTGCCGTTGTGGTGAAGTGACATTTTAACAGAATTTAGCTGAGTCATGATAAAAGACTGCTTCTCTTAAATCTAGTCTTACACATGACTAAAATGAGCAGATCCCTCAGATTATGTTTTCTTTCATGGGTTATGAAGTATTTATCATTAGAAGCGAACGGTAATAATGAATGGAAGTTTTAATGTGAGCACACTAAACAAGCCTTTGTACTTGAACCAGGTCCAAAGTCAGTATTAGCTTTTTAAAAGCTTTTTAACGGCCAGTTTGAGCTTTTTTTTTTTTAACCTGAGCCTTAATTCTCTTTTTTGTTAGGCTGTAAATTCTTTGTTGAGCAACATGACCTTCCAACACTAAAAGGTTGCAGTGTAACAACACCTGGTAGTGTGTCGACGTAAACGGGCTTTTATTTACAAGACCTGTTAAATATGCATAGATGGGTCTTATTACAACAACTCAAAGCAGTTTTACATCCTGTTTATTAACTATTAATACCCTTAAAATGATCAGGTCTCATTTTTAAACCTTTTTTCTACTATTTAGATGTAAAATTCATCTTGAATACATATGTGACACAGAAACATGATGAAACTAGCATTTTTGTAAGAGAATGCATATTTCTCGATGCTTTGTGTGCCAAAATTTAAACAAAAGTCCCGTTAGCTCTCAGATTAAGTGTTTGGAATGACTCTCAGCTACTACCACTCAAGAGTTTAACTCAGTATCTGTAAAACTGACTGAGTTAATGTTTGCTGAGAGTGATTAACTGTGGCAGCCGTTGACTCAGGTTGACTGAAAGTTAACCAGTTCTAGATGTACATCCAGTCTTTCTGACAGTTTCATTAAAATTATCATGTGGTTTAAGAGATGTTTTACCAACAGACACTTTTAGGTAATTGGATGATCATTTGCCTTTTATGGCAATAGAGGACAAGAAGTCTTTCCATTCTTGGACGAGTATTTTCCTCAGAAAGAGACTGTTTCTGTAGGATTTGAATGTGTCAACCCATTCATCCATCCATTATCTTCACCCGCTTCTTCCTTTTGGGGTCGCAGGAGTCACTGGTGCCCATATCCTGCAGCCACTGTGCGAGAGGCAGGGGACACCCTGGACAGGTCCAAGTCCATCACAGGGACACTTAGAGACAAACGACCATTCACACTCACACCTAGGGACAATTTAGAGTTGCCAATCATTCTAACATGCATGTTTTTGGTATGTGGGAGGAAACCGGAGTACCCGGAGAAAAGCCATGCATGCACGGAGAGAACATGCAAACTCCACCCAGAACACAATTGACCACATTTCAGTGTCTCAGTCCCCAAACATGCTTGTGTTCTCTGAAATCTTGTGAGTAGATCTCTGTGATTCTGTACAGAATACAGTTGTTGGTCAGCATTCTCACTCAGTCGGGGTTTGTTTGGAGATATTTTATTCTTCTCAGCTACTCACACCTTTAACACCAAAGAGAAAAAAGGCTCTAGTTGAAAAATCCTGCAGTGTCCCTTTGACCAACCAAACCATTTTATCACAGTCTGTGCAAAAATGTTTGGATGTTTGATGTGACTTCAATTTAAGCCTCCTTCCAAGTATACGTTTTAAAATACGTAATCGATGCTGTAAACAATTATGCAATAATATGACTATTTTCTTATCCTGTACACTACACCATTATAAGAAACTTTATTACTTTAATATAATGTTAATTAGCATTTATTCAGTAAAATATAACAAGCTGCAGGTATTGCTATAGTTTATTCATATAAAGTTTTTTTTTGTATTTATATAAATCTTGAAAATAAGTTAACTTTTTACTTGTAATAACTATAAAATGACTTTTTGTACCACTAAAGGTAAAATGACAAACACATCTTCAGGTTGATGTAAATGCCAAAGTGGATGTTTCAAAATCTTTTTCTTGTGAGGATTGTAGAAAGATTATAAACAGGTATTATCTTACCTGCTGTAGATGGCTCTTTTCCAAGCCTCATTTTGGAGGAATAAATAATGTTTTTTAAAAGATTGTCGAGCTAATAGCTAGTCAAAACAGGGCCAAAACCAAAGAGAATTGTTGCCATCTTCAAAGAACTGCAATCTTTAAACTTAATAATGGTTTATGTAAACATTTTATATAAACTTTTATATCGCTGTCAGTTTCACATTACATATTCCAGAAGAAATATGATTTCCTGCTGTGAGTTCTCCATTAAACTCTATTTCTCCAAACAGATCATTCAAAGAGCTATCTCCAGCAAGTAAGATAATAACTGTTCGTAATATTTTCTCATAACCCTGCTTTAAAAGATCTATTGCTTTAAGATGTCGCATACTTAAGTGCAACTTAGCTTATAAAAGAAGTTTCATGTTTCAATTAAATAAACTTAAAAAAAGGTCAAAGAAATGTGACTATATCCATCCATCCATTATCTTTTACCCGCTTCTTCCATTTTGGGTCACAGGGGTCACCAGTGCCCATGTCCAGCAATCACTGTGCGAGGGGCGGGGTACACCCTGGACACGTCTCCAGTCCATCACAGGGACACATAGAGACAAATGAGACAAACAACCATTCACTCTCTCATTCACACCTAGGGACAATTTAGAGTTACCAATCAGCCTAACATGCATGTTTTTGGTCTGTGGGAGGAAACCGGAGTACCCGGAGAAAACCCACGCATGCACGGAGAGAACATGCAAACTCCACCCAGAAAGGCCCCTGGACCAGGATTTGAACCGGCAGCCATCTTGCTGAGAGGCAGCAGCTCTATCATTTGCGCCACCGTGCTGCCACATGACAATATACTATATACTTTTATTTAATAATCAATCCACTCCAAGACATACCGGTAATTCTTAAAATAATCTAAACTGCAAGTTCCTAGAATTTGCAGCATCTATAGTTTTGGTCCATTTCCACAATCGGGCAACAAGTGAGAATTTGTGAAATTACTTATTTAAAACAAAAAATATTAAAGCTTGTTCAATGTGACTTCTTAAAATGGCGATGATTTTAGAATCATAAACAGTCGGTTGTTTTAGTATTCAGTTATTTCATGTACAATAAGATACAATGTACAGTCTATAAAACACTAGTAACAATAGAAATGATTTTTAAGAGTTTATTTTTTAACACTAGCAAAGCAGTTTATTATGTCCATTATATGCCTCGTAAATGAACTAAAAGTGTATTTTGCATTAAAACTTTTAAACTGTTTTTCTGTAGGAATTCTGTTTCATTGTTTTATGTGAACAATGTGTGTGTTTTACGTCATGCTGAATTTTGTTGTTTGACTCCGGTTGAAATTCATATTGTTTGACAAAGAAAAATCAACACCGATTAACTGTTTTGTGTAAGTTTGATTATTGATCTGTTTGAACTGAAGCACACGGCGGCACGTGTTATTTGTGATGTCTCAGATCAGTTGTCTGCAGCCCTGATGGTCAGTTCTTGTGCCTCCTCTGTTACGCCTAATTTATTGCCGACGTTAATCTACTCAAGTTCGTCCTAAAGAACCCAAAATGTTACTTTGGTAAAAATGATCTACACTATCAATTAAAACAAAACTTTGAAAATCTTTTTATATGTTAGATTTATACCATGCCATTTTATTTATAAAGCATTTATGTTTTTGTTTATTTCAAATAAAATTTGTGCACACCGAACCCTCATCTCAACCTGCCTTTATGAAGGAGCCTGATATCTGATGTTGAATAAAACGTTGAAGCACAAGCAACTTGAGGAATTTCTTTTTTAAATTTTAGCAATTCTTAGCACATTTTCATAAAGGATAAGGCATGCATTTTCAGTTCACACGGTGCATGCATATGTCAACAATTTTTGTCAGTAGATTTAGATTTCAAAGTCTGTATTATTTAGTTTAAAACGCGTCATTCAAACAGCAGGCCGGACATTTTATTTGAGAAACTTCGAACATTAATCAGTCCAAATGATGGGTTTATAATGGAAGTAACTGTATGGGTACTAGACTACCAGCACACATTGGAATAAGAGAAAACGAAACGGCAGATGAAACAGCAAAACAAATGACAACTTCTTGATTTCAAGACGTCTCATCAAGCAAAGTCTGAAGAGAGAATGGCAGGAAAGTTGGGATGGGGAAGGCAAAGGAATGTGGTTTCTAGTTAACCTAATTATATTATAATTATATTACAATTATAAGTAGATTTTTTTAAAATAAACAAGTTAGATTAAAAAAAATCTGACTGGAGATCTTGTACATAAAGTTTAGAGATAAATTTTGACGAACCACACTTCATACCAGTTGGTGGCGGTAGTGCACCGAACGGTTATTATCCAACCGCCCATAAACGCACGAAGAAGAAGAAGAAGACAAAGTCACGAGCCGCAAAAATGGCGAACGTGGTGGTGGAGTTCAAGTGTTCTGCCGGTGACTCGGAGCCACTGAGTCGCCCTCTCCTGATTCTGGGGCAACAGGCCAACCTGCAACAAATCAGCTGGAGCCAAATTAAAGGGAAACTGCAGCCAGTCGTCACCAAAGAGGTGATTAAAAAATAAATAATATAACTGAGTAGTAGTGAGTGTTAGCATCACGCGCTAACCGTATTGCACAGGCTAACGCAGCAGTCAAAGTTTTTTTGCGGAAGATAATTTAATTTAACTTTACCCCCCAAAAAAACAACTCTGCAGGTATCTTTTATGCTAATCTAATGGGTTGTTACCTGATGAAATAGACGTTCTGTTTCAGTGATTTAAACAAACAATGAAACACTTTCGGTTAATTATGTTTAAACAGTTTAACAGTGATTTATCAGGAAAAGCTCGGGCGCTGAAATCCCTTATAGATTTTATTTTCTATTTCCTGGTTTCAAGGTCTGTCATTAAATGTGTCATATGTCATAAAATATTGTGCAGCTGTAGAGGTACACTTTGCTATAATAAAAACAATTTTGCAACGCTAATAATAATAATAATAATAATGGTTCAGCAGGCATCCATAGAGAGACAAGTGGTCACAGGAGAGTCCCAGTGTTAAAGAAGCTTTTGCAGGGAGTTTTGACACTGAGAGAAAAAGTTAAAACATTTATTTAAAAAAATAAACTGCTCTCATATTGGCACAGAGATCCCAGACAACTCATGTAAACAGTTCATATTGTTAGCAGTTTTCAAGTCCTGCACAATAGGAATATCAAGTTGAGTATTTATATCCAGCTCAAAGTGGGGACAAATTACTACATGCTCTTTATTACTTTTAAACAGTTCAGATTGGATGGATAACAGAAGTGATCTGTTAGCCTTTTTAGTAAAGGGCTACAAACAATACAGTTGTTTGGTTTCTTTCTGCAAGAAACCAGAAGTTTCAGTTTTTGCTTAATGTCTTTTTCAGATTTGGCAGGCGGCTCTCGTTGCTTTGAACCCAAACTCCACCAACAGCTGCCCCATGTACCTGAACCAGGTTGTGGTGGCTGCTCTTCCTTCACGTGTCAGCAGGCACAACAGTCCTTCTTCGGCCAATTTTGTGTCTCGTCTGATCCGTTCCTGTCTCCCTGGAGGGAACAACCGCAGCATTGTGGTCAGTATTTTTGTGAGGTTGTTATTGTTATTATTGCTCTAGACTTTCATCATGCAATACTCATCAATCTTTTTTTATTTTTTCCTATTTCTGATAAAGTCAGGAAGCATTTTTAGCCACAGCAAATGGTTCTTCAGTTAAACAGGGATGTTTTTACCTGACGTTTTTGATTAGTCCAGTCCTCAAATCCTGTTCATCAAATAGTTGACTTTTTTTTTCTCCAGATGGTATGTGAGCGTTCGGATGTGTTTGCCTCGTCTTGTGCCATCGCCAGGTCCTTCCCCATCTTCTCCCGCCGCTCTACATCTATACGCAGGACAGAGAAGAAGCATGTGACGGTGGAATTTATCCTTGTTGGTCCTGACAGCAGTCCTCTGGATGCTGCAGAACTTGAGGTACCACTTTGTGAAGTTTTCTCATGTTATTTTGTTTTCACCCCCCCCCCCCCCCCCACTGCAGTCTGCTTCAGCCTAAAAGCTTTCCTTGTGTTTAGTGTCTCTCCAACGCTGCTGATGGTGTGCGGCTGGCAGCTCGCATTGTGGACACTCCATGCAATGAGATGAATACAGACATCTTCTTAGACGTGAGTATCTTTTTGAAACTGTTGTCTTTATTTCTTTGTTAATGTCCCAATAGATCAGTCTCAATGCTTTGAGTTCTCTGAATTGAAGAAAACTGAAAGCTTCGTCTTGCTGCTCAGCTTCCTTGTGTCGTGCTTCGGCACAGTTCTTAACACTGCTGAAGCTGCACTGATCCATCTGCCGATCTAACACTCCATTCTTTACTCACTTGTGAACAAAACCTGAAGATACTTGAACCCCTCCACTTGAGTTTTATCATATTATATAAAGTGCTACTGCAATGACAAGTTTTATTTGTTTTACTGAAACTTTCCTTTACAAGTACTTGTTTCTATTTCAGGAAATAAAGGCTGTCGGTGCTGAACTTGGAATCACTCCAGTCATCATTCGTGGAGAGGAACTGAAACAAAAAGGTTTTGGAGGTACTGCATCTGTGCATGGCCGTTCCTTTACTGAAAAGTTTCTGCTGCTCGGTTACTTTCTGTGCTGTGAAAAGAAAATTGAGAAACAAATGCCTGAATTAAAAAAGACCTGAAATAAAAAAAGACAATAAATATTTAAAGGAAAAATATACATCTTTTATCTTCATCGTCAGCAGTTCAAACAAAATAAAGAAAAAAAGAAACAAGTTAAAGTGTTGTCACGGCTCTGTAACAACATCTTTGGCAAACATCAGAGCGCTTTCATTTTTTTATTATTTTCAAAATGCTCAAAACTTTGTCCATTTTTTATTTGTAATTACTGGCTGTGAATTTTGTTTAATGATGCAGGAAAGAGTTATTTTGATGAAAAACCTTACATGTGCTGGTTTGACTGCTGAATTGAGAAGTTCTAAACCACTTTTTCACTTTTGATATGAGCCATTTAAGACGAAGTAAGTTCTGATCTCTGTATCAGGTTGAGTCTGAAGCCGATACTTAAATTGTGGGACAATACACGTTGCAAACGGCACAGGATGAGGCTCACATGGGTGAAGTGACATGCATGCAGTAACATGCGTCATGTTAAACATGATGCGTGTTCTCCTGCAGTAAATGTTTGTGTGATCTACAGATATTATGGCTGTTTTTATTTAGGGGCACTGTGGGAACTGTCCTCAAGAAGTCCAGATACTGTAAATCGGATACTAAATGAATATTGACCCTTCTCCACCCTCTCAGGTATTTACGGTGTTGGAAAGGCGGCGGAGTATCCTCCTGCTTTGGCAGTTTTGAGCCACACGCCCGAAGGGGCGACACAAACCATTGCGTGGGTGGGTAAAGGCATCGTGTACGACACTGGAGGACTCAGCATCAAGGGAAAGGTAGACTGCACCACGCACAGTGATAATTGTTAAGCAAAATGAAGTATAAGCCAGTGTGCAATGATTTATCTAATTACAAAATGTAGCTAATAAAAAATATGCATCGGTTTGTTAGAGAAAAAATTTTAATTTCAGAAAATCCTCAGGTTTAATGAGGTTGATACAGTAGTCCCGTGATTATTGTGGGGGTTACGTTCCAACACCACTGCAATAGGTGAAAAATCGCAAAGTAGGAACGCTATATTTATTTTAGTATTTATATATTTATATATAAATCTATATTATGGCTTTATCAACCCTTCCCATGCTCTTGCAATGTTCTAAACTCTTAAACCTATGTAATTTTAACAACATACGTATATATATACACAATACATGTATGTATTGTACAGTATTACAAAATTTTACTCACCAGCTCTGCAGACCAGCATCTCTGTTCCTGTCTGGCTCTGTTCCGGTTTGACAGACCTACCCTGCAGCATCACGAAGCCCACTGCCCCGTCCAGGTTGATGTGCACGTGGCTATTGAGCTTCAGTATTATTTGTGACTTTCCTGCCAGTTCTGAGTTTAATAGATGGATCGTTACTTCTGACTTTGCGTTGCAAAACTTTCCCTCCATTTTGGCAGAAAGCAGCAGCTGGAAGCACTGTTGGCTCCTGGGTAGTGTAGTTCTTTTGATTTGCATTACTGTGTAGGCTTATTGAAAGAAAACTACAAAATGGCGGCTCCTGTCTGAAGTTTTTTTTTCAATAACTTTTTATCCCGTTTCGTCCCATTCACGTGAGTAATATTGAAGTTGACAATCGTGTGTCGTGTACAATCTTCCATTGAAAAACCACAAAAGAGCAAATATGCGAAAGTCGACCCGCGAAGTAACGAGGGACTACTGTATACAGAGGTCCATGTGTGTAAAACAAATGATTATTCTTCAGAGTAGTTTTCTTTTTGACAGACGACCATGCCTGGCATGAAGAGAGACTGTGGAGGAGCTGCTGCCATTTTAGGAGCTTTCAAAGCCACAATCAAACAGGTGAGGTGACCTTTAAAATGTTCCTATGCAAATTGTCATTTATTTTCTTTTTCTCAAAAGTTTCTATTTTATTCAGATCATTTCGTTTCTTCTTGTCAGGGTTTTAAAGACAACCTTCATGCTGTGTTTTGTCTTGCGGAGAACTCTGTGGGACCCACCGCCACTCGACCCGATGATATCCACACACTCTACTCTGGAAAGTGAGACTCCGAAGTTTTAATTCAGTATCATCTTTCTTGTTGTAATTTGTTCTCACTTCTTGTTTTGTCATGTTGCACTCAAGATGAGTCTAATCTCAGTTTACAAGCCCCAGGTTGGTATAAAAGATTAAAATGTGTGTTTTTGCTTTGAAGGACTGTGGAGATCAATAACACTGATGCAGAGGGCAGGCTGGTGCTGGCTGATGGAGTGGTGTACGCTTCCAAAGACTTGTCTGCTGATATCATTTTGGATATGGCAACACTGACAGGAGCACAGGTGGGTGCTGCAAGACCAATCACACCACAAATCAGCAGGTTTCAGACCACATATTCCCATTCTAACAGTGAAATGGTCTATATGGCAGGCAATGTCTTTGCTTTTACAATATATTATTGTTTTCTGTCGTTCAGGGGATCTCCACAGGGAAATTCCACGCTGCAGTGATGACCAACAGTGAGCAGTGGGAGGTGGCGTGTGTGCGCGCCGGTCGCAGCAGTGGCGATCTCGCTCACCCTCTGGTTTACTGTCCCGAGCTGCACTTCAGTGAGTTCAACTCCGCCATTGCGGACATGAAGAACTCTGTGGCTGTAAGTGACAAACCTTAGATTATTAAGAAACGGACACAAACAAATGATACAAGTTTAAACTCTTAAACTTGTCCGCCTGTGACTGGCGTTAACGCTAGGCGTTACAATTTTGGGACGTCTGCATTTCCACTTATATAACAGTGCACGGGTGTCAAACCCACTTACAGTAGGGGCCAAAATTAAAACCTTTTTGCCAGTTTCAGAATCTACACTAACTCAAGTTAGATACCCAGCATCTTTTCTTGGTTGCAGGTTCCTCAACAAGAGTTTGATTGGCCTCATTTGACGTTCTCTGTTGCACTTTTGACATCATAATCAAAGATTACTGAAAAAAACTCAAAGTGATAAAAGTATTTTACATTTAAAATAACATCTTGGGGGCCAGATAAGATGTTAAGAAGGGCCACATTTGGCCTCCGGGCCTTCAGTATGACGCGTAATAAATTATACATCTAAAACTTTAACACTGTTTTTACTACTTCAGTGTCATGACATTTAATTGTTAGATTTTTTTTTTAGGAATTCAAGTCTTAGTTGTGGTGTTTTGTTTTTTCTTTGTTGTATTTAAACTATTGAACTAACCGTAAATCTAAAGCCGACATGTAAATAAATGGTGTAAGTAGCGCTCGTTGAATGCATATTGCCCGCCACCTTGCATGCCAACATTTTTAAGATCTTGGGTGATCTGCAGTCTGAATATGTGGTCGGGATGACTCTCAGCTATTACCACATCAAACTTCAGCTCAGTATCTGTAAAAATAAGGTTGATGTGTTGTGGCTGCCATCTTGAATTGGGTTGACTTTAAAAGTTAGTCAGTGGTGGATGTTGGGTAATGGGTGTAGTCATTTGTTTTTGGTTATTTACTAATGTTTACTGTTTTCCTGCTGTGTCTTTACAGGACCGGGAGAATGCTCAGAGCTCTTGTGCAGGCCTCTTCATCGGTTCCCACCTGGGCTTTGATTGGCCCGGTGTCTGGGTCCATGTTGACATCGCCTCTCCTGTTCATGTAGTGAGTGCTTGTAGCTTTGATACACACACGTGATTAATAAATTAATTTGGTGCTTTTCCAACTAATCAGCCAGTGAACAGAAGTGGACGATTTCCCTGCTAATCTAACACAAAAATAAGTAATAACACATTAGATTATTATTTTTTTTTTAAGTGGGTAATTTTGTGCTAGAAAGTGAGCGCACACTGAAAGAAAACTTGATATCTGAAAAAGAAGTCGGAGGAAACACAAGAAATGCAACACTGTACTCAAAGAAAAGATGTTGGCTGTTCATTTTACTGCTCAGTTTATTTTGGTTGATAATTAAAAAAAAATTTTTTAGATTTTATTTGTATATATACCTCTGTTCAATTACCAGAAAGATTATTTATATAAGCATCAGGGTGCTAACGATCCATTGTTAGGCTGATGATGCCCCCTTGATCATGTGAACAACTGGTTTTGAATGTCAACGACAAACTGGTTGATCCACTATGAGAAGGTGCTATTTATAAGACTGAGTTTAATACAGCTCCTCAGACTGAAGAAGACTTTTGGATGAAAGATGAAACGTTTCTACAAATTTTAGTTTTTTGAACCCGTCCAGAGGACCTGACTTAGCTTTTGTTTTGTTGTTTAGATTTTTCTACCTGGATTACTGAACATTTATCAGGATATTATTTATATTGTAGATTCACAGCTTTGGAAAAAGCTTAAATCTGCTGCTGTTTTAGGAAAAATAGAAAAGAGTTGCATTTTAAACACTACCGTATTTTGAACAAACACTGAAATTCTCAATTCATTTATAAATTAGAAAAGAAAGTATTTTGTGTTGGTTTTTTTAGGAGAGAAATCAAAATCGGTTAAAATAGGAATCGGACCATAGCTTTATAAAAGCTGGAACTTGAAATCTGTGATCAGGGCATTTCGGAATGAAATGCAAAACAAGTTAGAAATAACTTCTCCAGATTTTCTCCTCAAAAGGACTCACGGTTACACTGGTGTCACTGCCCCTTTTAAAGTAGAGAAAAGTTTCTTATTAAGATTTAACTTTTCTCTCATGAAGTCCCTAAGTGACATCTACCAAACATCCCGATTCGGTCATGTGACTAGTGAGGGACTCTGGGTACTGATGACATCATTTCCAAAGTCTTGGTGCACCTGGGCAGCTAATGTGACCACTGAGCTAATTTTAGAAACTTTATTTTCTTTTAACAAAGGTGAGTTTCCACTGTTTCAACGATGCAAATCCTTAGATAACATGTCATAGCTCACATATAACCTGGTTTGATAACATTTCTAAAGCAATTTGATAAAGAGTAGGTTTGTCAAATATCGTTGTGACATATATGTCACATCGGGCAATAAACTCTAAATTGTACAAAAAAATTCCATGTGACATATTTTGACACAATAAGAAAAATACTAATCATCTGCTTAGTCAATTTAGCTCATTCTGTTGTTTTAGATAAATATATTTTTTTGTTGTTCATTTTAAATAATATTTAAATTAAAATAAGCATGAACATTCATGAAACTACTATTTCCAAATGCGGAATAAATTTACTGAGTACGCCCAATGTGATCTACTGTATATGTCACATTTCAGATCTGTGCCAGTAGGTGGAGGTATTAAAGAAAAACCTTCAGAAATGTGTTAAATAATCTATTTGTTATATTGATTTGGTCACAAAAATGAACTTTGTCTTTTGAAGATGATTCTTCTTATCCCTATAAAATTGTACATTGATTTTAGAGAAAGAGCAGGTGACCACAGGGATCATATTAATACTTCTCTGCAGGGTCTTTTCTGGCGCTTGGTGCTGAAATTAAATCAGCTCATTAAAAAAGGTTCCTGTTCACCTTTTCTGTTTTGAAGCTTCTCATTAGTCCCAGTTAGCCATCTTAGATTTTTTTTTTTTTTTTGTAGTAAACCTCATGTTTTAGCACAATTCCATCAAAACAACAATTTGTGGTTAACTCTAACCATAGTGGAAGCTTTCTACAGGTAGTTTTGTGGTTTTTTTTAAACATTTTGTTTTTGCAGGGGGAGCGTGCCACAGGATTCGGCGTTGCCTTGCTCATGGCCCTGTTTGGTCAGGCATCAGATGACTCCTTGCTGAACCAAGTGTCTCCTCTGGGTGCGCCGAACAATCAATCCGAGGACCAGATGGAGCGTGACTGTAAAAGACGAAGGCTGGTGTAGAGCACAAAACGGTTCCCCGCCCCATGACTTCCCCACCACCACCACCACGACGCTTTCTAACCAGTGAAGCTCATAGAGTAATGAGATGTAAAACTGTGTTTGGTCAAATGTGATTTTTAGAGATTTAAAACAGAAAATCTGTAAATCGGATGTGATGTAAATGAAGACGGTCAAACACCGGCTTTCACTCCACCTCCACAGCGTCTCCACTTTTTCCTCTTTACCACGAAAAAGCTGAATTATTCCATTTTAAATCTAAATATGGAGGTGTTGTGTCTTCTTATTGTTTCATTCAGGTCTTCAGCTGTGATTTTTATTTTATTTGTAATTTTTTTTTTTTTTAAACAACTGTTAATAGAAGTTTAAGAGTTTAACATGTACCTTACAGCCTCAGCTTTTCAACTAACCACCTCATCAGTAGGAGTTTTTTTTAATGTGTACATGCAAATGTGATGACAGATTTGTGGTCCGTAACTGCAGCACTTTGTGTTAATCCTACAGTTGAAACTTGTGATTTCTGCACCAAACCGAGAGCTCGAGTGCTCGAGTTTTAGCTTCTATGGTGTCAAATAAATGTTGACCTGTTTTATGTTAGCAGTAAGTTAAAAAGTGTAAGTCAGATTCCTGCATAAACTCTTGTTTTCACACTGACAATCACATTAAATAATGGCAGAGCCATGGGTTTCATGTGTGTGAACCTTTAACTGACCGCACCGTTTCATGAGACGCAGTTTAACACTCCAGAATAAAAATGATAAAAAATGCTAGTATGTGAAATTTTTTTTTATAACCTTGTTTCATCATCAAAAGCTTTGAGGCTTAACTCAAAAGCATCAGTTCATCTAGAGACCTTTAGATCACAGTAATCTGTGAGTGCAATCATACACAGGTTATATTTTACTTTTTGTCCCGTTTTTATCATTGGATGTGGTTGTAGCGTAGGATTAATACAACAAAACAACTTTGTTTATAAAGCACTTTGAAAAACAACACTATTGGCCAAAGTGCTGTACGCTGATAAGCAAACAAAAATGAGTCGATGTGGAGCCAATGTAGTGATTTTAAAGCATTGCTCGCATTTTTTGGCACTTTGACATTTATTTAAATAATAATTTAAATAGTAATGAATGCTCTTTTCAAATAAAACTCGCGTTTCCTTATTTTGTTTTTACGTTCATGTGATCATGTCTCGTGATTTCCTACTAAAGCACGTGACACTCTGCAAGGGGCGGTCATGTGACCTGAGTCTGCTCCAGCAGATGCAGCGCGTGGCTCCGTTCAGCCGCTGGAAGCTCCTCGGAGATGGCTCGGTCCGCCGCAGCTCTGGTTCTGGTTTCGGTCGTGTTGTCCGGCGTGTCTGCCGGAGTGTTTTTCAACAAGAAGCTGCCGTGTTATGTCGGCACACCGAGGACACACGGCGTCGGTTTGAGGTGAGTCCGTCGGAACATAAAACTAGTTTAGAAGATTTGAAGTAATTATTAAAGCGCGTTCATAAGGAGCTAACTAGCTGCTAGCTTCAGTTGGCTAGCAGGTGTTGAATACTTTCCAATAGTTTCATATTAAATGATGGTTTTGTAAAATAATGCTCCTAATTCAGATAATACGAGGATCGGGAGCAGCTGTCCTGGTTTTGGTTTCTTCTTCCTGTTTTTTTTCACATGACTGAGCAGGCTTTCCTTGTCAGCAGCAGATAAAATTAAAACAAGTCACAGGTTTGGGTTAATCATTAACTGAAGATGTTCCAGAACATTTTTCCTGCATCGGATTTATTTATTTTTTTCTTTGTCTAAAGGACGTATTTTCCCGACGTATATATGACGTATTTTCCCGACGT